GGTCTAAATTTGATCTGGACAAATTGATTCGGATTGGAGTCTTTAGATGTCAGCGTTGTACAGTTCTGCATCAGCAGCATCCGTAAGAGACTGACAGCACTGTTTGCACATTTGAGAAACGCCTGTATGGAATCTCAGGATTGCTAAATTGTGCAAAATGATTTCACAACAACATCTGTTTCTGCATTTGATTCAATGACAAGTCCGAAGTAACATTTTCTATTCTATTTCTATAACAAAGATCAGAAAATGCTGTAATATGGGCCCACTGTGTAACATTTCTAGTGAAGGGTCCATCACCTGCTTGTTTCCATGGAGATGTGCCGAGAACAGTGGTCTCCAGTAGGGATGTCCTTGATTAGTCGACTAATCGATAATTGATCACTGGGAATTTCGTTGATCACGTTCATTTTTAATCGACAAACCGAGTGGAGGTTACTGTGTGTAGTGTAGCATAAGTAGACGAGGCTGCGTCTGACACAAACACTGGAGTTACGGCCTTACAGTCCCGTGTTTCTACTTTACCACACCTCCTTGGAGATCACTGTACCACTCAGTGCTCATCAATATCCCAGTTATTATCAGGTGTTTTGAGTATCCCGGTTTCGTCATGGTGCTTGTATACACAGTATCCCAGTTACTGCAACATAAAGTTGAGTGTGCATGCGTCCAGAAGACAAACACTTTTCAGTCTTTTCAAGTGAGTGAAATGACTGTTAAATAAAGAGCTGTGCCAAACCTGCACATATACAATCTGCACTCGTATGACCTGCACATGTATGATCTCTGACAACATAAACCATTTCTAATGCGATATACACACATCAACATCATCAACATCCCTGTGTCACAGAGAGAACACTCATATTCCACTGAATCGTGTCCTTTAGTCCAACAGAAGCTGACAGCATCAGCGCACAAGGAAAGAGCAGTTTTTTTTCAGTCCTTATAGTTTATGCAAATGAGCCATTCGGTTTTAAGTTTCATTTCTGTAAAACATAAACAAATGTGTCAAAGCTGCATTAAACACATTATAATATCAAACGGGCTGATGTGGTTCCAGAGTGTTTATGGTTTATATGTTTTAAAGTTGAGATTATTCATGCAGATTAGTAATAGTAATAATAATTATGATAATTTTAATATCAAACATTAATGATTAATTGAAAATTTATCATTAATTCTCCCAACGATCGATTAATGGATTGAGGGTTAAGAAAATTTAATCTCTACCTTTGCAAAAAGAAAATGCAAAGAGGTACTAATTTTGGCAGCATAGGAAAGCCTGAAATGGGGAACAGTTGAAATACCTATAAAACATAAAAATTGACATTTATTAGTGCATCAAAATGATACATTGCACAATTGTAATTTTCTGTCATTCAGCACAGTATGTGTTATTCAGAAATCCTTTGGTAAGATACTTGGAAGGGGGTGGAGAGCTACAGGTTGGAAACCCCTGGCCTAGAATGTTCTACAGTATGACCATAATCTTCAAGAAACTCTATGGAGACTTGCAAGCCAAATTACAATTTAGATTTGTGGAGAGACGATCCCACTCACAGTAAAAATGATTTTTTTTTAAGGTATTTTTGAGCAATACCAAATACTATAGAATACCATACTGTGAACAATTTAAACCAAACTATTACATCTCCATGGAGACAAACAGGTTGCGGACCCTCTTCAGAAAATGTACGCAGTGCACCTTTTAATTACCTTTAGTTACCTACCTTTTTAATCCTCCTCCTATCTAATTTACAAGAAGAACTATGTGATCTGTTGTTGTTAAGCTTTATAATTAGGGATGCATCGATCCAGCATTTTCAGTTTCGATACTAAATCCGATACCCGATATTAACCGATACCAGTGCAGAGACTGAAAAGAGCATTTATGTTCTTAAAACAAAAAATAAAATGAGACAAAACTGATCAAACTGTGTCATCAATTTACATGTCCAAACAAGATATCGACTTAACCGATATTTGAAAGCTGATGTCCGATCCAAACATTTTTATAATGAGAGAGAGAATGCGGGTAGAGTTTATTGCTGCGGCTCACCCACTGGGAGAGCTCTCAGGACTGCAGGGTTCAGCTGAGGTGCCCCTTCACTTTCACTGCTGCTTTTATTGTCTCTGCTGTAAACAGAAATAGGACTGCACTGGGAGCTTTCTCATCGGACTGGCACTCACACTGGTAAAGGGCCCATCTTACGCAAAATTGACTCTTGTGAGCTTTAAGCCAGGTCATAAATTCTAAGAGTTGTTACCTCATCAAAAACATACCTGGGGTTGTGTTTCTTTCACCCATGTTTGAGTAAGCCTTTATTATTAGTCTGTCTACATCTCCAAAGCTCAAAATGCTGCTTGTTCCACTTTGCGATGTCATTAAATGTGTCAATGAAACAAAACACAACTTCAGGTCTGTTTGTGATGAGGAAACATTATAACATAGATCAAAAAATGCTGCAATGTGGGCCCCTTTAAACCAAGTCTCTCTTTTGTAATATAAAAACACTGGATTTAAAAGCTCTTTTTTTAAGACAGTATTCTAATTTTCATCACAAACTTCTCATACCCCTTGATTTGAAGTGATCTCTCACTGCTAAAGAGATTTTGGACACCCCTTCGTCTCTCGTGAACAAGGGGTGTGGAGTGGGCTCAAGATTGTTTGTGTATTTTCAGAGTTGTTATTGGATGTTGTTGCCTAAAGCTTCTTGTCATGCGCTTCTGTAATACGTTTAAACTGGAAAAATGTGCATGATTCCAATTACTTTTTATGTTTTTGCGATAATTGTTTAACTGTTGCTTGCAGCCATTAGACTTTTTTTTTTTGTACAGTTGGAATCTACTATCGCCTGAGCTGAACTTGACTCCACAAGGGCCAGTGCCAGTCCAAACAGAGCCCAGAATATTTATAGTCTTCTCTTTATTCTCCCCTTCACACTTTGGCATGAAACTGTCTAATCACTTTCGCATCTGTGCTCTGACACGGCCTGATTGTGCTCAGAGGAACGCCCTAAATCCACTGGGAAATGTCTAGTCTACTGTACTTAGGCCTGTCACCATAATTCCACTTGTATAATTAAAAAAAAATGATGGATGGACATTATGTTTAATATTTATCCTTAGGCCTGTCACCATAATTCCACTTGTATAGTTAAAACAATGATGGATGGGACATTACGCTTAATATTTATCCTTAGGTGTGATGCCATAGTACATTTTGAAGTATTGCTGAAGAAAACAAACAGTGAAGATGAACAGGCTTGTAGTATAAAAACTTACAGTGATAGAGTAAAAATTGGTCAAAAAAGTCTGACACTCTGATGGAATTATAATAAAAGTACTTTAATAATTACACGGGGCAGTTTTGTTGAAGAAAATGTAGATGATAACCAATAATATCGCTCTGTCTCAAGTGTTCATCCTAAAGGAGGATTTAACCCTAAAACTATTCTATACAGTGTTGTTAAAGAAACCTACTGTGCTTGAGTCTGCTCTATAGTTACTATCTATGACACTATTGTTATAGTTTTCACATTTTAAATCACAATATTCATCTAAAATTACTTAATAAAAGAAACAGGTCCACTGACTTCCATGTTAGAAAACTGTGGTGCGTGAAATTGTCAGCCACAGCAGATCACATTAGAAAGTAGCTATTTTTTTTTTTTTTCATTTGTACCAAAATGACTATGTGACACATCCTGCATGTATCACTGATTAAGAAAATCAAGTGGACATGGGTGATATGGGAGCTGATCAGTAGGGTTGAACGATCTATCATTTTGGACCTAAAATTGCGATCTCAGGCAACATGATTTTGGGAACGTCAAAGCTGAGTTTTTTTGTAGTGCTTCTCTAAATGCACCTCAAACTAATTTTCTGCCACAACGCTAGGAGGCTAGGATTTAACACTGGCGTTCATGTAAAGTTGAACATGAATCATCTCCAACGCAATAGAAGCACAGAACAGACTCACCATCATCAGCACATCCTCTGTCACAGGAAGACCACTCATATTCCGCTGAGTCATGTCCTTTACTGTAGTTCAACAGAAACGGTCCACATCAGCAGCAAAGGAGCGAGCTGTTTTTTTTTTTCAGCGCTTATAGTTTATGCATATTAGCCACGTGATTTTAAGATTCGTTTCTGTAAAACATAAACAGATGTGCGCAAACGGTCCAGCGTCAAATCGTCAGTGCAGGACTTTGGTATGATCTAAGTTTCAGTGATGTTTGCAAATGTTCATATGTACTAAAACTTGATTTGAAAAAAATTGTGGATGAAATTGAAATCGCAATATCTGCCAGAAAAATCACAATATATATATATTTTTTTTAATCGTTCAGCCCTGTTGATCAACAGAGATTGCTCAAACATGCACAAATCACTCCAAATACAACTTGGAGACAGTAAATGAGAAGGAAACGATTATAAAATAGTTAAAAGCTCTGAAAAGTCCATTTTGTAGAACAGATCTGCTTAAATGAAAATGAATTGCAATAAATAAAGGAGTCACAACAAAATGATTCCAACTAGTGCTAAGAAAAAGTACCCACAATAAATAATGCTTCCCCAAATAATTCTTTTGTTTCTGATTTCTTGAACCATATGTCGATTATTGTGACAGTCCTGTTTAATGAGTGCTTTCTTTGCACTTATGTTATTTTTACTACAATAGTAGGACAATACGATTTCATGCTACAGTTTATTTAGTGACACACATGTCCTTATCAATATTGCACATTTAGAAAAGAGCATACTGAGACTCACAGAGTGTCAGATTGTGTAAGCGGTACACAAAAGTTTCAACATTGTCGTTTGTTGTTGTTATATTTTCTGTAGCAATATATCGCACTTGAAAATGGTTTCGTGCTTTTGTTACTTACTTTATCATCTGAGGTCACTGGTGTCTCACATTACAGTCTCACTGTTGTAGTAAAAGATCTTTTATTTCTTTTTGCTCAAGTTTGTCCCTCTGTGCCTCCCGTCAGGTGCTGGAGACCAGGCTCTGTTTACGTCCCTCTACACCACTCTGGCCCAGCAGCTGCCCCGAGAGCCCATGGAGTGGAGGAGGTAGGTCCAGAGAGGCAGTTTTGATGAAATAAATACTAAAGTTACATCAATTGTACATATTTTTACACTAGTTTTATAGTCATTTACAGAAATATGGTTTAAATAAACAACTGAATGTATAGAAAACACCTCACTGATATGTACTGAGTGACATAATTGTAGCATCATTATCTTATGCCTAAAATGAAATTAAATCACAAAATGTCCTATTCCTATTCAGCCTAAACTATTTCTCTAATGCTAAACTATAATGACAGGGTGCCAGTCGAGAAAGTTGTTTCAAACTAGACGCTTTGAACCTCCCCACAGTTTGTCAAACCTGTTGCATGTTGTGTTATTTTTGTGAAGGACGTACGGCCGCGCCCCCAAAATGATCCACCTGGAGGCCAACTTTGTGCAGTTCAAAGAGGAGCTTCTGCCTAAAGAAGGAAACAAGGCCCTGCTCACGTTCCCCTTTCTGCACATCTACTGGACCGACTGCTGCGTAAGGCCAAACACACTGCAAAAACACGATCATTTGAGTTACATTCATCGGTAGGCCTGTAACGATAATCAATAAATCAATTCATCGTACAATAACTTTTAACGAGCTTGATTACTTTTCCAGCCGCGATAAATTCTATTTGCATGCTTGTTTGTTTTCCTCTCTCTGTCGCTCTCAAAGAGACTGAATGTTAGAAGGCTTCTATCGCTCTCTGACTCTTTAAACAAGCGTAATGACACTTGAACCAACGTGCGCTGTGTTGGATGTGCGCGTAGCCTGACTTGCCAACTTTCTTGCCAAAACAAGTCATGATGCTGAATCAACACTAGTGAGTGGGATACATCTCAACAGTCACATGCGTCAAATGTTGCGAGGGTGCAAACGACGAGAAGAAATGTCTCAAACCCCAGCAGCCCATAAACCCATACCCGATCGAGCGACACCACTAGCCCTGCTCCCGGGAGAGCCCGAAATCTACTGAAATCCCACAAGACACCGACACGATACCAGACAGGATAGTCTCCCTCATAGCGAAATATCATCCTGGTTAATACGAACACTTCAAGACCAAAATGACGAGGCTCACAGCAGCAGCCACAGAGAGAGGAGACACAATTTTTAATAACTTTTAAGGACAGTTTTGTTACAGAGACTTTATACTCCTTTTTATTTAATGCTTTGGTTGTGCTTGCTTCAACAATGGTTTATTCAAGTGCATTTTTGTTAACAAGTCCTCGCTGTGAGCCAGACTACATTAGGCTAGTCCTGTGTTAACAAGTCTATTTTATTTAGGCCTGTTGTTTTTGGTTGTCTTACATTTCCTGTGTTAAATGTTCTTTAGAAAGTAAGGTTTATTGATCATTGAGAGGATGTATTTGCATTTTTATTCCATGGTCATTATATTAGTTGAAATTGGTCTCAAAATGTCAATAATATAATTTATCGCAATAAATTCTTGATGGAGATTCAGACATTTCTATTTCTCACTGTTCAGTTTGGGTCTACAGCTAATTCTCTGTTAGTAAAAGCCTGTGTTTCGGAGCAGAGTTCAGACTTTGGAGGAGGAAATGTGCGGAAAATACAAGCGTACATGATCCTGTTTTGATGTTTGATTTTTCAACAAAAAGGTGAGAGCTGAGAAAGTGTTGGCAAAAATAAAATCAACTCACCCGTTGCAGTTCCAGCCAAGTCAGCTCTTTCTGCTCAGATTGTGTTAAGATAAAGATCAGATTAACGTTTAACTTGAGTAACAGAGCTTTAGACAGAGCAGTGCCTCAGTTAGCATCATACCGCCAGGGAATGTTGATGACATCAGCTGGGAAGTTTTTATTAGCAAATTATTAGGAACAGGAAATGTGGTAGTGGATTCTTCCAAAGTAATTTCCTTCCAATCCGAGGCAAGGTTTTCCAGGCTTTTGGAAACACTCACAGTCAGACCCAGGGTCGCTGAAAGGTAAAAGCACTTGTTAAAGCATATTTGGGAAAAGATTTGTAGTGCAAACAGGAAGTAGAGCTCTGTCAGCACGTGATGCTTTTAAGGAAGTCCGTAAAGTTGAGTCATGAGTTTTCCAGGGAACACTCTGCTCTGTGTGCTGCTCAACCGGACTGGTCAAAGTTCGCTGTTTCATATCACACACAGCGGGTTTTAAATGTAAATGATAGTTAGTCCAACACACTTTTTTAAACTTTTTATCACGTTATTCTTTTGTATTGTCGTCTAAACATACCTGGAGTTAGAACATTACAAAAAAAAAATCACATAATCAAGACTAAAATGTTGCTTACACTACACGAAAGTCCATTCATCTTATTAAACCTTAGTTTTCACTTTTTAAAGTCATTTGTTTTATTAAAGGGCTTATATTGTGCTGTTTTCTGATCACAAACTTACCTGGAGTTGTGTTTTGTTTCATTCACACCTTTAACACGCATATCCTGCATATTTAGTTATTCTCAAACAGAAAAGAATGCTCTGCTTTGTTTTCTAACTCCATACACCTGCGCTACAGTCATTTGAATGAGTTCAGCCTGCAATTGCCAATTTCGACCTCATCAAAAGCTAAAAGGAGCTGTTAACTTGAAAACTATCCTTTCATGACATCACAAGGTGGATCAGAGCATTTAGAGCTTTGGAGATGTAGACAGACTAATAAACCAGGACTACTTAAACATGTGTGAATGAAACAAAACACAGCTCCAGATATGTTTTTTGATGAGGTAACAGTGCTCTAGCGTGGCTTAAACTTCACCTGAGTCAATTTTGCATCTATAGGACCTTTAAATATGGATGACACACGTGCTATTGTTTAATTTGAATATATAAGATCATAAAGTATTGACTTCTTACACAAAAGAGGAAATGCACTTGTGCCAGTTTACAGCATTTCCAAATAAAAAATACACTGACAATACGTTGATTATTGTTATGGCCCCAGCTCAAAAGATCACAACAAAGGAGGGAGGACACGGCGTTTTAAGCTCTCTGCTGGAGCATTTATTAATAAGTTACAATAAATATGTGCAAATAGTGCTAAAGTGCGTTGTGGCAATTGGCTGATGGCGTGGCCAGGTGGAGTCGAGCCAATGGAGCAGCCATGGGTGGAGGAGGGTGTAGTCCCTTTTATAGGTGGCTGGATGCGCTGGGCCCTAGTGCATCCGGGTCACCTTGAAACAGAACAATAATTAATACAAACACGGCACAACGGGCTGTAACAATTATATATGCCTTTTATTACATCTACATTCATACCGTCACAAATCTTTTCCATATGTTTATTAAAATGTATTCTGCTTAGGGCTGGCTGGATCACTAGATTTTATTTTGTGTTGATATAGGGAAAACAATTCTGGAGAAATTCACATTTAAAATTTGGAATGAGTTTGTACAATATATTAAAGCTAATGCATATGCGCGTTACCATTCGCGGCAGACACACGTGCATGTGCACTCTGCCGCTATCAACAGAAACACGTGTGATGTCACTGTGCTAAATTGGGATTTACGTTTCACTCATAAACGGTGAGAAAACTGCCTTTTACTTTTCGTAACTTGGATTATAATGATAAGGAGCAACAGAGGTGAGAAAGAGGAGAAAAGGTGAGGAGCTGCAGCTGGATCAGAGGGAGGCGGGAACGGGGGAGTGTCAGACAACACTGCACACAGAGACAGAGGGAGAGAGAACTGGACTTTTAGTCAAATTGTGCAAATTTAAGTCAAAATACATGAGGAGACATAAAGAGACGCGCTGTGGCTCAGGCTGCTTTTTCCTAAACAAGAGTGTCAATTCTCATCAGCACCACACACTCTCACTGCCACATGATGATACTGTTGACCTGTCGATTAAAATGAACTTGTGCCTTATCATTGAGATCCACCAAAGTAGAGATTGTGATCTATCGATCTTACGATTGTTGGCACAGCCCTAATTCTACTTATTAACTCTTGCACAAATCTCACTTCTGTGTTGTGGTGAACTGCAGTTTGAAGTAAATTTACTTGTATTGTGCAACATCAGGACTGTAGAGCCTGTGGAAGCTGTTGCATAAGAGCTCATACAAGAAATCAGATCAAACTTCCACTCTGCTTAAGCCACTTTGAAATGGTTTTGTTTTTAGACCTAGTTTGTTTGACTACCACCTCAGGCTAAGTGTTTTAACATACAAGAATAGACCATCAATAAAAGTAATATTGACCAAGAATAATACATTTGTCGCATTTTAGTTTTTTAGTCTATTCAAAGTTTTGATTTCAGGATAGGTTTCCACCAGCTTCCTATCTGAACCAATAAAATGATGGGCTATTATTATTTACAGGTCAATAATTGCCCACAATATCTAATAATAATAGAACTTGTATTAACACAAAGCTGTTTCTATAATTACTTGAAGAATAATTACAGTCACATGACACATTTGGATCAGATGTGGCATGTTTCAATGATTTGTAATGCTATTTTAGTCTCTGTGGGTATAATGATATTGGATATTGGCAGATTGGCAGTGAAAAAGCTGGATAAGTGCATCCAGAGCTAAAACATTTCCCTTTATAGATTTAATAAACTTTATGTAGCAATTAAAAAAACAATTAAATATGCTGTAAAAATATAAATAAACTTGATAAACCAGTAACAACAAAAGAAAAGTGGCATAAATATTTACTTTTATTTTAGTCAATATTTGGCTTGAAAGATATTCCATGACTGATTTGGCTCCGGCAAAACAAAATACAAGCTCAACCCACCACAAACTCTGTTAAAATAATTAGCAGGAGACCAAATGGACCTCAGTGAGCAAGCCACCACCACCCCCGCCTCAGTCACAGTAATAAAATGAGTTGTAGATGGAAGCAGACATGTTTGGCAGCTCAGATTTAATGTCCCTGTAAACAGTGATACATGAGTTCATATGTTTCAGTCAGGTTTTATAAATAGATCAAAGCGTGTGCTCTCTGGCAGAGTCGTTAGCACCTGTCTCTCACATCCCACACATGGCTCTGCTCTCAACACCCATCCACACAGAAGTCATTAAGACACATGGAGCAGTCGGTGTGAGGATGTATTAGGCCTCCTGTACATTAATCAGTTATTGGTTCAGTAGTGTGTTTTCTCCAATTTGGTGACTATTTATTCACCAAAGCTACAAATGCATTTCCTCATAGAGCCAGTGCTCACAATCTGCAGTGCTACTAGTGAAAATTTAGCTGGCAACCCTTTTTTTGTACTTCTTCTTTTGTACTTCTATTTAATAAATAAATAAATAAATAAATAAAAACTGTTGGATATCAATCTCATTCCACCTTGTACTTCTCCTAGTGACATGCACTTCTGTGGTTGACACTAGGGATGGGCATGATTAGTCGACTAATCAATAATTGATCGTTAAGAATTTCGTCGATTACATTCATTTCTAATCGATAAACCAAATGTTGGTTTCGAAGCTGCGTCTGACAGCTCAAACGGCCTCAGTCCCACGTTTGGGCTCTGGCACCTCCTTGGAGATCACTGTACCACTCAATGAGTGCGTTTACATGCACATCAGTATCCCGGTTTCATCATGGTGCATGTCTACGCAGTATCCCGGTTACTGCAACATAAAGAGCTGCGCTAAACCTGCACACTTACGACCTTTGAAAACATTGCGACACACAGAACAGACTCACCATCAGCATCAACATCCCTCTGTCACAGAAAGATCACTCATATTCCACTGAGTCGTGTCCTTTAGTCCGACAGAAGCTGAACCACATCAGCACACCACTTAGTTTATGCAATGAGCCATGTGGTTTTAAGTTTTGTTTCTGTGAGATTTGCGCAAAGGTGAATTAAACACATGATAATCTCTAACGGGCTGATGTGGCTCTAGAGTTGTTATGGTTTATATGTTGTAAAGTTAAGTTTTTTTATGCACATTAGTAATAGTAATAATGATGATACTTATTATATGAAAACGGTAATGATTAATTGAAAATCAATCGTTAATTCTCCTGACAATTGATTAATGAAATTTCTTTGAATGCCCATCCCTAGTTGACACTTCTGGTTAAGATGGAATCCCATTCATTTCAGTGGCAAAATAGAGAACAAGTCTCGCAGCAAAAATGAAAGTAGGTTGAATTGTGTAGAAGTGTAGTAACATGTCAACAGTGCCCTTTTCTCTGGGAGGCTTGAAAAGTCTGTAGAACTTATATGCTGTAAAGATCGTCAGCCCTGTGCAAAATCATCTGACTGGAATGACAATGGTAGCGCCCCTGGCAACTGTGGAAATAAGGTCAATTGTCTGGAATAAAATCAATGCTCGTCTAACCCGCTGTCCCTTCTGTGTCAGGACACGGAGGCGTACAAAGGCTCGGTGAAGGAGGACATGATGCGGTGGCAGAACAGTTTGAGGACGCACGGGTCTGCGGACTGGGTCATCATTGTCGTGGAGAACAATGAAACCAAGAAGAAGAACAAGACCAACATCCTGCCACGCTCATCCATCATCGACAAGATCCGCAGTGACTTCTGTAACAAGCAGAACGACAGGTGACTGGCTAGTACTTTCACTTCACAGAACAAAGATTCTGAGTTTCCCCCATCAACCCAAAACATGCACAACAGGTCTTGACCAAGACATTTCTTAAATATTTCTTATCTGACAAGATAATGTCAGTTACACTGACATGTATGAGGAAATGCAAAAGGAAAAAAAAAACAACATTGTCTTCTTTGTTGAGTCTTGTGTTTTTATCATGTTTTCAGTCAGTCATTGGTATGGTATGTCTCTTTGACTTTATCATAACCTACAGTCTTATATAACAGAATGTCTGTGGTGAATTGCAGGTGTGTGGTTCTGTCTGAGCCCCTTAAGGACTCCTCTCGCTCTCAGGAGTCCTGGAGCTCTCTGCTGCTGAAGCTGCGCACACTGCTGCTCATGTCCTTCACCAAAAACCTGGGACGCTTTGAGGACGACATGAGGACTCTGAGAGAGAAGAGAACACAGCCCGGCTGGAGCTTCTGTGACTACTTTATGGTCCAGGTAAAGTGGCAAACAACAAACCGAATATTGTAAAAATAGTAAAAGTAAAAGTAAAGTAATAAAACTAGTGCTCATCTAGATATGCAGGGTGTGACATGAAATTTTTCATTTTTTTCTTAAAATTTTTTTTGCTGCATCTCCATAAATGTAGGGCTGTCGCAATAACCGCAAAAATGAATCACCGCGGTTCTAAGAGGTCCACCGCAGTGCATGTTGGGCCACCACGATCACCGCATGTGACCCGACCCAAAGTCCTGCACGGATCCATTTTTAGAGACCCGCACCTGCCCAGATCCTTTAACATTCCACCTATTACCGCCCGTGATAACCCAGGACTAACCCAGGACTAACCCAGGACTAACCCAGGACTAACCCAGGACTAACCCAGGACTAACCCAGGACTAACCCAGGACTAACCCAGGACTAACCCAGGACTAACCCAGGACTAAGGTGCGCCCGTGAAGACTGTCGGGTGACCACAGGCAAAAGGACCAGCACAGCTCCGCGCCGCACGGAGGTAAACGTAGCCATAACCCGATCGCGCTTTGAGGACACCTGCTCCGCGTGCTCTCTTAAGTTCGCGGGTACTCGTCCTGGTGCAGGACTCTGATTCGAGCTGCCACAGTGAGAGCTGGAGAGATGTAACGGCTCTTGTTCCAAAGCCAAATGTTACTTCTCCCGCACTACACACACTATATCCACACGACAACCAAGGCACATGTACATCTGCACAACAAGTGCATCATTAGAGAGAGTTTTCAGAACCGCTGGAAATATTATAACTCAGGGGGATGTGGGGTGGGGTAGGGGGTGCGATATCATCGCATATCGCGCTGTTGAGCTGCTATACCACACCGCAGGAGAAATTCCCTAACCGCGACAGCCCTACATAAATGTGACTCTTTGGTGACCTGGAGGACCTGCTGCTTGTTTGTGTGGAAATGTTGTTCCTTTAGCTATAAACAGACAACACATTTTAATTAGTGTGACGTAAAATCTTGTCCATTTTCATGGATAATGTTCTGAAGTATGGTTTTTAACTTTTAATTTTTTCATGAAATTATGCAGGTGACGTGCCCCCTCTAGAAAGTACTTGATGTACTTTAAAGAGAACACATGGGATTCAGTGAAATGTATTCAATACAAAATTACTAATAGATCTTATTATACTCAATCATCCAGCATACTGTGGGACCGCCCTTTGTTTTTTCTGATTCAGTTAAGTTATTAAGAGGGTAATAGTAGTATTAGTACTAGTTTTTTTTTTTTTAGATTTTCTGGGTGTAATTTCCTGTTGTATTTTGTGTTCAGGAGGAGTTGGCCTTTGTGTTTGAGATGCTGCAGCAGTTTGAAGACGCTCTTGTCCAATACGACGAACTGGACGCTCTGTTTACACAATATGTCCTCAACTTTGGAGCCGGAGGTGAATACAGCTTTTTCAGGATTATCTACAAGACAGTTTCATTATTCAAAATTACAGAATATAAAACCCATCGTCCACATAAACTAAGTTCAGATGTTCATTTTACCTCGGTTTGATGTGTCCTCAGTATATAACAGCTACTGACATCCCAGGTTTAGTATTTCTGCATTTCATTCAGAGTGATCCTAAACTAGTTAATTCTTGCCTAACCTTCCTAACCTATTTTAACCCATATCTTAAACTTAAAGCATCTTGTTAATCTACTAATAAAGAACTGGTATCATCAAGCCCTGATTTTTGTCCTCATAAGAGAGGCAGAGGCTATGCCATAAAAACCTGCATATATGTCTTGCAGTAATAACAATAATAAGTGATGTTACTTCTCTCCCTCCCAGACACAGCAAACTGGTTGGGTTCGTTCTGTGCTCCTGTCAAATGTTGGAACGGTCTTTTGCTGCGGCGGCCGATCGACATGGAGAAGAGGGACCTCATCCAGAAAGGAGAGGCCAGTCTGCTGGACCTCAGGAGCTACCTCTTCTCCAGACAGTGCACACTCCTCATCTTCCTCCAAAGACCCTGGGAGGTGACGCAAAGGGCACTGGAACTACTGCACAACTGTGTACAAGAGCTACGACTACTGGAGGTATGATACTCAGTCCTGGTTTAGTCCTGCTTTGGTCCTGCTTTGGTCCTGCTTTGGTCCTGCTTTGGTCCTGCTTTGATCCTGCTTTAGTCCTGCTTTAGTCCTGCTTTAGTCCTGCTTTAGTCCTGCTTTAGTCCTGCTTTAGTCCTGCTTTAGTCCTGGTTTGGTCCTGGTTTGGTCCTGGTTCGGTCCCGGTTTGAACACTTCTGACAACTTGTGAAAAAATATACTTGAATCTACACAATAATCTTTACCGTGTCCGTTGTCGTCCTTTTTGACATTAATAATCTGTTCTTGTTTGTTCAGGTGTCTGTCCTGGAGGGGGCACTGGACTGCTGGGTGTTCCTCAGCTGTCTGGAGGTTTTGCACAGAATCGAAGGCTGCTGTGACCCGGCTCAGCTGGCAGCCAACTGTTCACACACTGTGGGGCTATGGGCCTATGCTACTGACAAGGTAACGCAATAACTGGTCTAAAAGATGCTGTACGTGAATTTTTACATTTTTTAAAATGTGAAAAACAGAAAGAATTCATTTTAAACAGTTTACAGTGCTTCAAAATGACTCCTCCCTTACCTTATGCATTCCAAGTATCCTAATTATTCCCTGCAAACAGTGATGAGTGTTTCAGAAGCATGACAAAGCTCTTATGGTAAAGCTAACAAGTAGCAGGTTAACAGTGCACTCCCTGATTCTCAGAGGGTAGAATGCTCTGGGAATGGGTGCAGACAGCATGCAGCTCTTTGTGGCGTACCTTTTTCACACTGCGCTGGCTAAGAGTATTTGTGTTTCCAGTTGAAGAGCCTGGGAGAGCTGTGTGGGCTGGTCTCAGAGAAGGGGCCCACGTCTGAAGACTTGAACAGGACTGTGGATCTGCTGGCTGGACTGGGAGATGAGAGGCCCGAGACTGGTATGGACATAAAACACTGATGACTGATGAAGACCAGGCTCCTCACCTCATTAGTATGAGGCGTTCAGTCTGGTCTGGTCTGTGGGTCAGAAATGCAATGCACACGGGAATAATTTCTGGTTTAGTTTCTTAACCCTGGGTGTCTTTTACCATTTAATACTGTTTTTTTTCGGACTGTAAGTCGCACCAGCCAAAAAATGCATAATGAAGAAGAAAAAGAAAATATATAAGTCGCACTTTTTGGGGGAAATTTATTTTATAAAATCAGAGACCAGGAACTGACAATTCCTCTAGAAAGACAAGTTCTAGTAATAACAACAGAACAGAGAACAACAGACTCTCCATCTCACTCCAAATCACTAAATGCATTGAATTCTTCATCGTCAGTGTCACTTCTAAGAAACTCTGCGACCTCTGGAGGTAAACAGAGCGCCGCTTCCTCTTCTGTGTAGCTGTTGTCAGACTCAGCATCAGTTCCAGTTAGAATTATTCCGGTCTTTCTGAATCCCGACAGGATGGTTTCTGTTGTCACTGAAGTCCAGGCTTTGTCGATCCATCCCGTGACTTCCAAGAAAGTTTCATGGTGCACCCTCCCAGTGTCACAAGTTTCTCGCTAACTCCAAACTTTCTTTCTGCTGCTCGATTACCGTATTCAGCTGCAGATTTCTCTACTTGCAGCTTGTGATATGCAAAATATGATTTTCTTTTTGGGGTCATTTGTGTTCAGTCTTCTCAGTCGTCTTTATAAGTTTGATTAAATTTTAAATTTTCAGTGGTGCAGAAATTATGGTTCGATTAACTGACATGATACAGACAGAACATAGGCTCTTTCTGTGAGAGACATGCACAGTAGAGCCAGGTGACAGTGGTACAGGAGTAATAGGAGGAGCAAATACTGGCACACAAGCCTAGAGCCTCTCGCGGGTGTCAGTGTGAAAATTTTAATATATAAGTCGCAGGACCACGCAAACCATGAAAAAAAGTGCGACTTATAGTCCGAAAAATACACTAATAGTTTTACAGAACTCCAGGCAGTCTTGATTTTCCTGAATACTGGACTGAACAATTGCTATTTCGTTCTAATTGCTAATGTAAACAAATGTCAACTACAAAGGAAATGTGCAGTAACTAGCCAAACAATCAATACTTTTTCAGGTGATTTTGAGCTTTCAGTTCTTCCATAATTAACCCAGCATTAATAAAGTCCATAAACTGCTGTTTGATAGATGCAGTATGACAACAAGTGCTCAGCGTGCCATTACTTACAATTAGCTTATCTGTTGCACTGTTACTGTTTGAACAAATAGTCTGGATGCAACTCCCTCCACTGCATTTGGCTTGGCCAGGCTAGAGATCCACTGATCCAGCTTTTTAAGTTCTGATGCCAATATCAGTACTTATACTAAACCACTATTAACTGATACCCGTGCAGGGACGGAAAATGGCACTTATTTCCTTAACACACAGTTAACACAATCAGGCCTCTTGTGCAATATGTTATGTAACAGTTATTTTTCCTTCAAATAACCACTTGACCGCTTTGCATGAATTAAAGTTCAAACATTATGAGATGCCCTAAGCCAAAATCAGCCTGCAAATAGTATTATTACATCAAAATTAAAAGCCCAACCAGATTCCCAATCCTAATGGTTGTATTACGTATCTAATTAAAATGTGTTGTCTTGGGTTACATGTGTATTTGTTTGTCCTTTTTTTACAGTCAACAGTCTACAGAGTCCTTACAAGAAACTAAAAGAAGCTTTATCATCGGTGGAAGCTTTTGAGAGACACTATCTTGTATGTCCCAGTCTCCTTTGTGCTGTTTCTTTGAATGTTGATGTAAAGCACACATTTATTTTTGAATGTGTTATATTTTGAAGGAACTTTCTCATGCTGCTATGGAGATGTACCAGGCCATCAGTCGGATGAGGTCTGCGCGGCTGGTGGGCAAAAGCCTGGCTGAGTTTTACATGTAAGAAACACAGTCTAGTCTATTTAAAGATATTTGCACTTTTAAGCATGTTTGGGATGAGCCTTAAATTTCCAACAGAGGGTGATGATTTGGTTTGGCCAAGAAACCACATTTGGACTTTGGACTTGTGCAATGAGATAAGTGCACAAAACGGGACCACCACACGTCTCTTAAACGTTTGTGGTTGTTAAAAGTATTGAAAATCAGGTATTAATCTATTACTAAACTAACACTTATCAGATGCTAAAACTAGGATTGAAACTAGATGCTTATTTGAGCAGGTATCATATTCACAGAACAGAAAATAACCTTTCCTTTAGAATGATGTTGAGCTGTATCAGAACAAGTTTAAGAGCACATAAACTAGTACATGCCATGGACCACTATGGAACCTACCTGGACCACTGAAGGATTACACAGATATGGAGGACTGCATGGTGATATGAAAAAAGTACTACGCTTTAATGTTGAAAATGAATCTACTGGCAAAAGTGAGTTTGCAGTAAATTTAAATGTATTTTTTGTATGTGTATGTATCAAATCAACCCAAAATATCTCCATATTCTGTTTTTCTGGATTCTAAACAATGAGTATCAGCACCGACCATGGAAAAAAAAAAAAAACATTGGTTGATCTCTAATAATCATGATGATAATATAATTCATTTCACAGTTATTTTAGGCACCTTGCTGTTTTTAATATTGTGAGCCGGTAAACACTCCCACACACAGCCCTGGAGTCATCCGCAACATTGTAATGATGTGCAACTAAAGGGTTTAAATGGGAAAACGGTGAAATTAGCATAAACAACAAGAAGTTATTCCAGAGACTTCTATTATTAGTTAAAAAAATTAATAATAATAAAAAATTATACCCACTGATCCTTGTGATGTCATGTGGTGGTAGTTTTCACATTAACAACTACCTTTGATCTTTTAGTTCAGTACAGATTGACAATTCCTGAGATTCTCGTGAAGGTGTATGGAGTTTTAAAACACGCTGGAGCACTTCCTGTATTATGACATCACAAGCTGTTTTCAGTTTGAGAGAATAATTCAGCCTAAATCTGCAGGATTTGTGTGTTAAACATGTGTGAGTGAAGCAAAACACAACTCCAGGTCTGTCTGCGATGAGGAAACATTATAATATAGACATTATAATATAGATCCGAAAATGCAGAAATATGGGACCTTTTACAGGGCATAGGACAGATTAGACGATTAATTTCACTAAAACATGGTTAACATGATTCTATTTTTAGGGTTTTACTAAAAATATAGTTTTTGTTTGCTCATCTAATTTACTCAATATTTATAATACAAAAAAAAGAAAAATGTCACAAAACCTTTTATATTTTTAAATTGATGTCTTCCTTGTGCGTAAATTGTCTCTGCATTTTGGCTGGGTTTGTTTGCATTTATGATACAGAGAGACCTTAACTGTTCAACTTTTTATCAACTTTTTCTTCAAACTGCCATTTAACTGTAAAACAATGATAAATATTAATACAGGATTATTAAATGCAGGAATTATCCCTCCAAACCAAGTCATAATTAGAATAAAATGGCACTTTGAACTTCAACGACTTCATATGTGTGTGTTTTGTGCATTTGTGTGCAGGAGGAAAGGTGACCCTGAGCGCGCAGAGTCCTTCCTTCAGGAGGCGCTCAAGTGTTACGTCTCCGAGGGCTGGAGCCTTCCTCTCACTCACACCAGGAAACAAATCGCACAGTGTCAAAAACTGCTCAACCGCACAGAAGAGTATCCTACAGAAATGCATTTAGAACACAACAAATGTTACAGGTTTTTACAATGAGTGTAGAATGATTAGAATTTAGGCCTACCATAACTTTGAGCTTGTTACTGTCCTGCCATAGTACTAGTGTTAGTACTTTGGCTGGAATCGTTTGTTTTTGTTGTCATTATTTCTCAAAAATACTTAAGAAAACCTGCATTCTTAAACTGTGAGTGGGGTCACCTCTCCACAGATCAGGACATGACTTCCCACATTAACTGCGACTTCAGGGAAAGAAAGCACCTGATTTGTCTTTTATTAATATTCATATCTTCATTTACGGATGAAATAGCAAAATAAAAACACCAGGATCATGTAGAGCATCTTAATACGACCAAAATAACGAGACTCACAGCAGCGGGGATTGTGTAATTTTTCAATAAATGGAGACTGAGTCAATAGAACTGAAAACAGCGCCCATGCTTACTACCGTTATGAGTGTCAAGTCCAAACGCTCCAAGCGAGTGTTGCTTTCAGAGATGAGGAGAATTGACTCAAGAGAAATAAGAAGTGAGCAGATTTACGGACGTTTTTGGAGGTTTGTGTTTTGTCCACGTGTACACTTTTAATAAGAATATTGTAATGTAATGTTTTATAAATGAGACACTGACCTTTAACTTAGCCTGGAGGTGTCACCTGCCTTGTCTCCAAATAAGTTTAATGTGGAATACTGCTGGCAAATAAATTACATCTCCATAGAGACAAGCAGGTGATGGACCCTCAACCGGAAAGATTATATAGTGGACCTTTACGCACGTGTTGGTTTATTGAGTCATTTAAATTATGATGAAAATGTAATTCTTCTTGAGTGTTGCTCTATCAATATTCAGTATTGGACCTTAATGATACTCTCAGTTATCTTCAGACCAGTGCCTTGTTGGCTGGTGACGAGAACCTGAGCTCAGAGGAGAGGGAGCACTTCTGTCAAGAAATCCTCAACTTCGCCTCAAAGTCTGGAGACCAGGGTGAGTCATGTATCTGTATTGTGAAACTGAGACAATCCTATTAAAAATCATATTATACAAAAGGTATCATTTTTATTTAAATATTGAAACAGCTGACTCTTCTGTCATGGTTTCTCACCTAGAGCTTCTGCCAGTTCAGTGTATGGGCTTTAATTTAAGCAAGTCCAGGTCTGGTTAGTACTTGGATGGGAGACCACTGGGAAAATCAGGTGCCACAGAGGGACACCAGTCACAAAAAAAAGGCCTTTGTGTTGAAAATGGTGTGTGCATGAGAGATGGTGGTGGCCGGAGGGACCGCTGACGCTGATTGGTAGCCGCGCTTCAGTCAGTCTGCCCCAGGGCAGCTGTGGCTACAGTAGTATCTTACCACCACTGAGTGTGGAGTGAATGAATAATACTCTGTAAAGCGTCTTGTGACATATGTCTGTGATAAGCCCTATGTAAAAACTTGCTTACTTAATTTCACCACAATCTTAATGAAATCCTAATTCCATGAATTCAGTCACACAAAAATTTAAATTTACTGGTATTTTGTATCCTGAAAAACTGTAAATGTAATACTGCAATCAGTGTTATCCATTGACTTTATTAGTACAATTCACTTTCTATGTAACTTCTGAGGTGGCGCGTCCGCTACTTGCTTGTCTTAATGGAGATGGTATTTCTCCATGGAGACAAGCAGGTGGCAGACCCTCCACCAGAAAAGTTGCACAGTGCACCTTTTAAGGATGCGCTGACACCCCACATAACAAATGTGACTAAACCCAGAACTATACCTGGACTAGACCAAGACTAAACTAGAAGACCAAACCCAAGTCTTTATCAGGACTAAACATGAGCTCACACCAGGAACAAAGACGAGTGAACTCACCCTTAAACTACTATTATAACTAATATATTTCCCTCTTCTCTCCTCTTTAGCTCAAAAAGTCACCTTGTCCATGGGCGTCTTTGCTCACCTCACACGGCTCCAGTTCCACCCGTCCACTGCCTCCGTCCATTCCGGCGCTGACCTGCAGGTGGAGCTAGTGCTGCGCTGCCTCATGCCTGTTTCTGTGCACTTACAACAGCTCGTGGCTAGCATCCATTTTGACATTGAACAGAACACTGGGACTTTGGGTCGCTCCAAGGGGGGTCAAAGACTTACAAACCCCGGCATAGTGGAGTTTACGCAGACTACAACCTCGCCACTCTCCTCAAATGGGACGCCTGCTTTAGAGTTAGACGAAATTCACGATAGAAGCCCCACGGATAATTCACTAAACTCTACTGGAGTGATTTGTAAAAATACACACCTGCTAATTCGGAGACACAACAGCTTGTCGCCATCGGAAACGCCAAACGGTGTTAGCCCATTAACGATGAAGGAGGAGGCACAGATGCTAAAGGTCCAGGATGTGAGACTACAGCCTGGAATCAACAGCATCAAGCTAAAAGCACCAGTAAGTTACAATGCGACTCCCAATACTTGATTATACTACGACTGTGGCTCAGATGACCGATGTGTGTATAGGTCATTAGTCATATGCTGTTTATCTTAATGCAAAAGGGGTTCATTTATGGTCTAAAAATTGGCCAAAACCATCTCTGTATTGCCAGCACCTCTCACTCTCCCCTTCAGTACCCTGGGCATTGCATTGAGCTTTAGTTTTAAGCACATGCTGACTAGTGACTCTCTCTAACATGCGTCTCCTGTCTCGTCTCAGAGTGCTGACCCCGGCACGTACACCCTTCGACAGCTCTGTGTGACTCTGGGCCAGGTGCAGTTCATTCTGCCTCATGTTTATCCTTCAGTTCAGTATCAAGTCTACTCTCAGGAGCCCCAGCTCACCGTTGAGCCGCTAGAAGGTTTGGGCACACACCATTTTTAACTTATTTGACTTCCATAAGGCTAGTGTTACATACTGTTATATTATAGGCTTCCTTTGACTGAACAAGGAAGGTCCCAGGATCTCAGTTCCTGTAATTGTTCTGTCCTTGATACATGTCTAAATGTGTCCTCCTCAGAGCCTCTGCTGGCCGGCCTGCCTCAGTTCGTTCAGTTCACTCTCCTGACGGGACACTACACTGTGAAGAAGGGCGACGCTCTACAGCTCAGCAACTCAGAGTCTATGCCCATCGTGCCCTCTGCCACGTGCAGCGCCAGGATCTGCAACACTGCTGGAGGTAACCAGACTAAGACCAAAAGATCTGAAAGAAACTGTGCTTTGTAATGTCTAAAGGTTTATATATTTGTTTGGCATCTTATATTATGCAAAATTGACTCTTGACTCTACTGTAGTTACCTCCTCAAAAACAGACCTGGAGTTGTATGTTGTTTCATTCACACATGTTTGAGTAAGTCTTTAGGATGGGACTGTCTACTTCCCCAAAGCTCAACATGCTCTGTCCACCTTGTGATGTCATGAACTGGTAGTTTTTAAGTTAACAGCTACCTTTTACCTTTGGTTCATTAGAGATTGCCACATATCCTTTAATGAAGGTGTATGGAGTTTAAAACACAGTGGACCACTTCCTGTATTACCACATGACATCACAAGGTGAATCAGAATGTTTTCTGTTTGAAAGAAGAACACATCCTAAATATGTAGGGCTTTTGTGTTAAACATGTGTGAATGAAACAAAACACAACTCCAGGTCTGTTTCTGACGAGGAAACAACTAGATCGACTAACAATGTAATATTGACCCTTTGAGCAGAATATGTGAGATGATTTGACTTTCAAACATCTAATCAAATGATCTAATATGTCTTGTCCTCAGAGCTTGTAGGGGAGCAAGTTTTGTCCATCCAGTCCTCAGAGAAGGTGACCAGTATCAGCCTCCCCGCCGCAGCCCCCTACCACAGCCTGGTGTTCCAGCTGCAGGTGCTGTGTCTGATCCCGACCGGAGCTGAGAGGCTCACCAACGAGAGGCTCACCAACGGAGAGGTCCGACACCGACCGCGGAGCTACAGCCACCCAGACACACCCATGACCGCCATAGACCAGAGGGTGAGCACAGGACCATCTTATTTACAAAGAGTAATTTAAAGGGACATGATGTTCTTTTTCTTTTGAAGAGTGTGCCAACTGCTCCATGGACATGTTATTGCTCTGCCAGTATAGCATTACACCTGGCTTCTTAGAGAGAACGAGGTGAAACCATTAGACCAAGTAACAGGCCAGAGGCCTCATTTATAAAGCTCCTCACGTCAAAGCTAGTATTAATAAAAAACAAAGTTGATGTGGTACATTGTGCACCTTCACAGCACTGCCACGCCATTGTCCCCCCTCTTTTCACTCACAGCACTGTAAATGGTAAATTGTCACATTTTTATACAGTGCTTTTCCACTTTCAAAGGGACTTTACATAAAGGAACCACTCACCCATTCACACACCAGTGGCCCCACGTTCACCTGTAGCTCCGTGTTCACCTCTCCTCCCTCAAACTTGCAGATCTCCACCTGCGACAAAAAGAAACACATTCATGTATTCCCCATGTCCCCTGCACACATGCACCTGTGGGCTGCACCTGTGGGCTGTACCACTGACATGTGTCAATCAAAAGCACTCATTATAGTAAATTTCATCCAGAACTCACTTTGCATTGTTCTTTTATGGGGAAATGGAGGCGTTAAAGGGGCATGACGAGAGATAGGATCATGTGGGCAGATATGTGCTGCAGGGATCTTTGCAGAGGAAAGTGCCTACTCTCTCCAGTAGATTTTGATGTATTTTATTTGTAAATGAAGCCCCAGATCTGTGAGGAGACAATCAGCGCTCACACTCACTGCTGTGACTGTTCTTTCTCTTTCTCAGATGTCCATAGACTGCCCGTGGTCGATCTACTCCACGCTGCTCGCCCTCACCTTCTACATCCCCTTTAAAACCAAACACTCGCTGCTCTCTGCTGGAAACAGGTGTGAACTACAATCCAAACACAAGATACACATTTCACAACATGTTTATAGAGGTCTAGAGCGAGGTTGGCATGTTTTGGACGTACAATAGCTGCATGATATCAGACAACATATTAGTCAAAATATCGATATATATCATGATATTAAATTTGGTGATACAATATAGTTATCGTGGGCTGATGTATCAATATAGTATTTTTTGGTTTCTTTTAGCAAATATTTGTGACTGCACTACAGTTTTGTTGCTAATTTGGTGTAAGGAAACTTTTTTATGAAATACACTTGACAAATTCATTGTTTTGATGATTCAAATAGATGTATTTCATAGGGATGCGACAAGATCTCACGAGACAAAATTGCCACAAGATCGTGCACACAAGAGAAAAATTATCTTATGAGATTTTTGTCCAAGTGTTTACATTAAGATAAGACAAAAAAGGGTCTCGTGTTGGTGACTTACATCTCTTACAGTTCCAAAAAGCAGTACTAGAATGGAAAGAAGACTATGGAAATAATGTCTCGGTTTAACAAAGAAATATTGTATATAAAATGTATTTGATTCTTAAAAAACAATATATCACAAAGTATCATGTGCAGGATATCAATCATCTCATGTCACCACATCGTGATAATATTGTATCGTGAGCCGTGTATTGTATCGGATAGTGAGGGACCTGTGATTCCCAGCCCTACTATATATAATACTATAGGATTATTTAAAAAAACATTGTCACCAAAAAGCATAGGGCACAACATGTGATTAAATTGCAATTTAATGTCTGTCTTTTGTCATGTGACCAAACAGGAAGTACGTGCAGGTGTGTGTGCAGAACGTGTCGGATGAGGACTTCAAACTGGAGGAAGTGAAGCTCTCAGAGAAACAGAACTCTTCACTACAGCTGCTCTGCCTAAGCAACAAAACACAACAGGTCAGAAGAGAAAACAAAGGCAGGGTTCACACTTCCCACACATCCTGGAAATCTAGGAAAACCTGGAAATGAATTGGCCTGCCTGTCAAACTGAACCTAAAATTAAAGGACCTATATAACACTATTTTCTGATCTATGTTATAATCTTGTTTCCTCATCACAAACATATTGTGAGTTGTGTTTTGTTTCATTCACACATTTTCAAACAAATAGTCCAATGAGGTTCATTTGGTCTTCCGATAATTTATGCTATTAGATTCTTTTTTTAGACCAAGAGTTTGTTTTCATACCTGACAGTTTCAACTGCTCACTAGCACTCTTCCTCAGAATGGTCACGTGTAAAGAGTAAACAAACACCGTTGCTGGATTAAAGAGGCAATAGAAATACGGAAATGTGCTCACGGGACGAAAAACCAGGACAGGGTTTTTTTTTTTTACTCTCACACACCTGGGATACTGTCCTGAGGAAGTCAGACTGCAGATGGCGCTGTCTTCCTACCGGTGGAGGAAGGACGACAGCGCCATCAGCAGTCTGACTGAAAACCTGTATAAATCAGTTGAGCGACACGACACAGCAACATCACGCGACTCTGAGGAAGAGAGCTTGTGAGCAGTCAAAACTGTCAGGCATGAAAACAAACTCTTAGTCTGAAAAAAGAACCTAATAACATAAATTTAACACTCAAACCCTGCACTTTTAGGCTGAGTTCTTCTCTCAAACTGAAAAAGATACAGGAAGTGCTCCACTGCGTTTTTAAACTCTATACACCTTCACTACAATCATTTGGATCATTTCAGTCAGCCAATCTCTACTGAACTAAAAGCAAAGTGTAGCTGTTAACTTGAAAGCTACCACTACATGACATCACAAGGTGGAACAGAGCATTTTGAGCTTTGGAGATGTAGTAGGTTTACTGAAACATGTGTGAATGAAACAAAACACAACTCCAGGTCTGCTTCTGATGAGGTAATAGCTTTAGAACATGGCTTAAAGCTCACATGAATCAATTTTATGTAATATAGGATCTTTAAACATGCAAATATAGCATTTTCAGAAACAATAAAAATGTAACATGGTGATCTAAATATGTTATGTGTTAGCAGTTAATACCCTATAGAAGTAACATACCCCATCTTTAATATCTGTTTTCATGTGTCTTTCCTCTCTTTGTGCAGACTCTGTGCAGCAAACACAGTCTGTTCTGTCTGTGGGAGGTGCGGTGGAGTGCAGAGCTGCCCTCCTCTCTGAACTGTCTCTTCTCCGCACACTTCTCGCCCCTGAACCAGGAGCTCTCAGGTTCAAAACCCTTCCACTACAGCTTCCAGCTCGACCGCGTCACTGTGAGTATCAATCAACTTCTATATAAAGATACAGCTACGGCATTTTTATTGGGAAATTTTACTGTTGCCTCGAGAAATCACACTACCATAAATTTAGTTAAAGGTGCACAGTGTAACTTTTGCTCGGGGAAGGTTCATCATCCGTTTGTCTCCATGGTGATGTTATTGCTTTGCCTGGAATGTTCCAAAGCATGGCATTAAACTTGTCTATCAACATGGAGACAAGCAGTTGATGTTATCAGGCCACGTTACTGGTCAGATCTGTGGGATGCGAGCCCACTCAGTTTATTTTTGTTGTCAATGTATACATCTGTAATTGTGTAAATGCAAAAAAGAAATACATGCAGTAAGACAGAAATGATTAATGCCATACAGTGGAATATTCTAGGCAACGCAATAACAACTCCATGGAGACAAACAGATGACGAATTCACCTGAAAAGTTACATTGTGGTTGCGCCTTTTAAAATGAAAATTGAAGTGTTATCAATTGACTAGTGTCTAAAATAAATGAATGCAAAAAAATGAATAAAAATACAAAACCAGTCAAAAGTTTGGACACACTTTTTTATTTGTTCTTTATTTCCAAGATTATTTACATTGTAGGTTCTCATTTAAGGCATCAAAACCATGACAGGGCAGATATGTAATCTAATTAACAAAAAATAAACTCAACTGTACCTCAAAACTTGTTAAAATGATAAACTAAAAGAAACATGCATTGGTGTGGCTAAACTTTTGACTGGTTGACTTTTGACTGTACTTTCCTCACCCGTGGCCTCGTGTTGACAGACGTTGTACAGCGTGAAAGCGGAGATACTGCCCCCTGCTGGAGAGTCTCAATGTCGCTGTGGCCTGCTCTGTGCTCTGGAGGTCCACATCACACGGCTCACTGAAGCAGCCGAGGGGGAGGTGATCGAGGAGGGCAAAGGAGAAACAGAGGGGTCAAAGACCACCAAGCTCATGTATGAAGGTACGATCAGGCTGGAGGTGTAAGGTTTTCCCTTTTTGATGTATTGATACTTTGCAGTGACATCACTGCAGAATGAATGTTCAGCAGTTGACACAATGCACACATTAGCAACAGACAAAAAAGTTTCAAGAAAAATTACAAAATGTTCATGACCTGTTTACAAAATGTTTGATTTTTAACAAAAAGCTGAAAAACTGTTGGCTAATGAGACCTTGTTAGTGTAATGTTATGTGTTAGAGACTTGTTTAAGCGCATAAATCATCTCACCTGTTGTAGTTTTGACCAAGTCAACTCCATGTGGTGGTCAGATTATTTCAAAAATAAAGGTCAGATTAAGTCTGATTTGACTGTGGTCATTTGAGTTTCTTTTCAAATTTGCAGAACTGAGAGGCCCACCATCAGATTTCCATCTACGCTCTTTCATTGTTGAAAACCACAAATTCCATCATAGAATTCTGTCCTGTCCTCCCGCTCAGTTTAAAACTATTGGGATTTCAAATTGTTTTGACGTCACTTGGTTTAGAGAAAGCTGAGTAAGAGTGAGGCCATTCCTGTTGTGTTCACCTGGCTCCCGCTGGACACTGCTGTGATGCTGCAAGACACAGAAGGACACTTTTGTCCAGAGGGATCTTCCTCTCCTCAAATTGCCCTGAGCCCCTGCGCCATCATCACCTTCGACCACCATTCACAAACCATTCATACTAGGCAAGACGGATGAAGTGTCTTGCCTAGAACCACTGGTGCCCCACTGTGGCACCTGGTATTTCCAGTGGTCTTCCATCCAAATACTAACCAGGCCCAACTCTGCTTAGCTTCAGAGATCAGATGAGATCAGGTATTCTTAGGGTGTGACGATTTTCAAAAAAATCTGCAAAAATCACGATAGGTGAGTCCCGGAGATGAGTGATATATTGTCTTGAATCAAAATTGCTGTTATTAATATAAGTAGCTGATCAGTTATATCAACTCTAAAAGGGAAATTCAAAATGCTCAGGAATAGTTAAAAAGAAATAGACAAGAAACTTAAAATGTTGGCTAATCTTTAAAACAAGGATATAAAGTGATCATTTTGCAATTTTGTGGTCCTTTTGTTTTTGAACTGATGAAATTTGAACCTCAGCAATGACAGGAGGCACATCCAGATTCTTAACATTCTATCCCTCTCAGTGTATAACTCTCATTTGTGTATTGTGCATATATTTGAACATCCCTCTCCCCCCTCTCTTCCCCAGTGGCGGACAGCAGCAGTAACTGGGCGGTGTGCGGGCGGAGCTCTGGGATGGTCCTGATGCCTCTGAGCCCGAACGCCACACACAAAGTCCAGATCGAAGTCATGCCTCTGTTCGCAGGGCATCTGCCTTTCCCCCGAATCCAAGTGCTCAAATACCTGCCCCACTCTGCTACCCCCAACATACAACCCGACCCCGGTGAGGACAGATTTACACTTCTACTTTTATCACTTATACTGTCAAGAACATTTGAAAATAACACATGCATCTCACATACTTAATTTCATGTGTTTTGGAGAAGGAAACTACATAATTGTGATTTAATATAATATAAAGATTTTGAAGAATTATCCTGTGACATATAAAATGGATTCTCATTAGCTAAAATAATAATAAATAGTATTGCAAATTTTTATATTTCTTAATTTGTACTACAATAGTTAAAAGTTAAAAAAATGTATGAAAAATACTTTTGGAACTATTGAAATGATTAAAGGGACAGGCCGGAATTTTGGACATAGAGACTCATTTCCTAGTGAGTTGGAGACATGTGGACACACATTTTGAAATATTCCATCCAGTCCTTGTATTTGCAGAGGTCTCTGGTGCTAGGCTAGTGCATGTCAATGGCCATAGTTATCCTGCCACTAAAAACAGTCTTACCCACTCCACAAAACACCCCAACCAAATCTGTTATTACACCAGACTGTCCATGTAAATGTTTGAAATAAAACTAACCTTGCATCGCATGAATCATCGCATGTTGAGGGACTATTTTCTCAGCAGCAGCAGAATTTTACAATGAGATAAGATTGGTGCTAGGTGATATCAGTCCGCCACAGCCAAGCTTTCTATCAGTAAGTACAACTCGCTGCTGCTGCTGCTGCTCGGACATAAATCCTTCAAATGCAAGGTTGGTTTTACTTCTAGAATTATTCTACAACACAGACATTTACCTCGACAGTCTGGTGTAATAATAGATTTGTTTCAGGTGTTTTGTGGAGTGGGTAAGACTGTTTTTAGTGGCAGGATAACTATGGCCATTGACATGCACTAGACTAGCACCAGTGACCTCTGCAAAAAGAAGGACCGGATGGAATATTTAAAACAGTGTCTCCACATGTCTCCAACACTCTGGCTCACTAGGAAATGAGGTCCTATGTCCAAAATTCCAGACTGTTCCTTTAAGGTTTGTGGCGATAGAAACATATAATTTCGAAACACTCGGCATTGATAATGACATTTTAGGATTTTTATTTATTTTTGGTGCAGAATCAAAAACATCAAATACAACTCGAGATTTATAAACGAACATTCACTTTTGAGTGAAGTTTGAAATCTGCTGAATGAATTCAACAATTGTAGGCAGTTCAGATCATGTTTGTAGCAGGTTTTATACAGAATAAAGCCCATGTGGACACTGAGATGTTAAACTCAACTGAATATTAAAAGAGCTGTACCCATTTATTTTCATGTATTGAAGTATTTTTTCCTCACGACTAATATACTCTAAAAGCAGCTCTTTGGGTCACAATGAGACCACTGTGTGCTGTCTGTATCATATCAGAAAGCATTTTATCCTCCAGGAACTAGGGAATAAGATGCACTGTCAGCATGCTAGTTGTTGTTAACATTACTGTGTTGGTAAAACTCCACTCTGGCACTTGCAAACTCATTGTGGTTAATAATTCGGATGCTAGAAATCCATTTGGAAAGTGAGGGATAACTTTGTACCACTATAAAACCATTTAAATAAACTAGTTCTGTTTTTCGTGAATTTAAGAAAGTAAAAATCAAGTTCAGTGCCTTTTAACTCCTCATTCTTCTCTAACAGACTCTTAAATGCCTCTTTATATTTCTCCTCTACAGACAGTTGTGTGGAGAACGACAGCCTCTCTCTCCTGGACAAGTCCCTGGACGACCAGGCCGACACGGCGAGCATCCGGAGCCGAGGAAGCGTTCACTCCGTGGGCAGCAGCAGCGACCCCGCGCCCCCCTCCTCCCACCAGCAGAGGGCGCTCAACATGCCCCGCCTCGAACCCTTCAGCCCGGGACAAGTCTTCAACCACAGCCTAACGCAACAAGTGCTAGTCCTCCCCGCGTCGGACGACCACATAATGGAAGTCAACGCCACATGACACCAGAACTTTGACTTTAGGACTAAACCAGAACTAAACCAGGACTCCGAAATCCTGTCCCAGTCTCCTTAACGTCCACACGGGGGAAGGGACTAAAAAAAAGCAAGCCCTCTCAAAACGTTGGACCAGACAGGAGGACTAGAGACCACTGGAGCGGGTGGAGTATTTAAATAGAGTTTCTTTGCCATATCTTGTACATAGCTCATTGAAAAATATTTGTAGGTAATTCTAAATATATAAGAATCTATATTATGGACTTAATACGATTGCACCAAAGCCCATGAATCCCGTGTTTGACTGAGAGCGCCCGGGCTGTCTGCGGGGAAAGAGGAGATGGAAAAGGTTTGCACAAATTCAAGTTATAGAAATTAAGAAAAATACTGAGTCAAATGGCTTCACTTCATTTTAAAGGCGCACTGCGTAACTTCTCTGGAGATGTTGTCGCTTCGCCTGGAATGTCAGCAAGACGCCGGTCCAGCTTTTTCAGTTCCGATACCGAGTCAGGCTTGTCACGATAACTCCTATATCGACTTCTTGTTCAATACATGACATATGGAACAGTATATTTTTGGGCTCCGTATTTATCGTGGGGACTTTATTTGCAATACTGGGAGGGTTCTTGTATTTTATTTTGTTGTAATACGATACGGTAAAGGGTTGAATAAGTCACTTTTATGGCTAATTATTGCTTCATTCTACTGTTTATTTGTTGCAGCTCAGGCTTTTAATGACACTGTCTAATTAAAAACTGGTTTACTGGGATTATCCTGCTGTATGTCAGTGGTGTAAAGTACTTTCATTATTATCGTTTACCGTTATATTTCTCTGTAGCAATATATGGTGCTTTGAAATGTGTTATCGTGACAGGCCTAATCTGGTATCGGTCGATATCAACCGATACCAGAGCGAAAGAGTGAAACCGGCATTCATTTCCTTTAAACAAAAGACAAAACGGATCCAAATGTGTTATGTAGCTGTTATTTTTCTTTCAAGTAATGACAGAACAGCTTTGTAAATAAAAATTCAAACATTGTGAGACCAACTCTAACCAGTAAATAGTCTTATTAGATCAATTTACTGTTTGAACCGATAACTGAAAGCCGAAATGGTTCAGTATCGACGCATCCGTTCGGAGTTTGCAGCTTCGTCAACCAGAACCGGAATTATCAACCGTACGCTATTCGTGTTGTTCATCTCCACGGAGACGAGCAAATGGCGTCGCTTAGCCAGGTTAAAGGTCAGATCTACGGAGAGACGAGCCCACTCATAATAAGAAAGACTGTTGTGAGGTATTTTTAAGCAACAAAAACACCTGAAATCGAATCAGTGACAGATAAAGTTTAACGCCATTCTGTGGAATACACTTCATCTTCATCTTCAGTCTTATCAGCAGGTAGCGTAGCCTCCACCAGAGAAGGTACACAGTGCGCCTTTAAATCGCCACGTCGTTGAATATGCGTAGGGTAGCACTCGCCTCATCGGAGGAAGGTCTCAAGTTCGATTCCAGGATTAGCGCCATCTTTCTGCATGGAGTTTGCATTTTCTCCTAGTGTCCTTGTTTTTCCTATCAACCCAAATCAAGCACAGTAGATAAAAAAGTAAAGTACGTACTGAAGGATGGGTCAAATGCAGAGGGTGAGTTTCTATACAAGGATAAATGGGTGACAAATTAAAGAACACAGTTTGGAGCTATGTCCAAAGTAGGGCTGAACAATGTTAAGAAAAAATTGAATTGCAATTTTTTTATATATAATTATACATTTGCCAACATCACAGAAACTTACATCATACCAGAGTCCTGCACTGACGATTTGACGCTGGACCGTTTGCGCACATTTGTTTACGTTTTACAGAAATTAAACTTAAAACCACATGGCTAATTTGCATTAATTATAAGTACAAAAAAAACCCAGCTCGCTCCTTGTGCTGCTGGTGCAGTTCAGCTTCTGTCAGAGTAAAGGACACGACTCAGTGGAATATACTGTATGTGTTCTTCCTGTGACAGAGGATGTGCTGCTGATGGTGAGTTTGTTCTGTGCTTCTATCGCGTTGGAGATGGTTCATGTTAAACTTTACAGCACATAGACCTCAACGCAAGGCGACGGCAGCAGTGTGCGTGGAGTTGACGCAGAACTATACTTCGCCCTTAAAATTGGGCTTTAAGAGCGCTGCAGAAAACCTCGACTTTGACGCTTCCAAAATCGTGTTGTCTGAGACTGTGATTTTTGGTCCAAAACAATGGATCGTTCAGCCCTAGACCAAAGTCCAGCAGTTTGGCAGGTTGGATTCTTTTTAAAGTAGTTTTTTTTCTCCACAATTTCTGATTATATAATAATTGATAGAGAAGATACAAGATACAAAATTACCAAAAGATCAGGCATACAAAACAGATTATCTCGTGAGATGTTTTTCCATGTGTTTCCTTTTGAACTGGACAAAAACCATTACATGTTGGTGAGTTACATCTCTTACAGTTCCAAAAAGCAGTACTAGAATAGAAACAAACCTATGACTTTTGAAAAAAATAATAAAAATTGTGAGGCCAAAATCGTAAACTCAACTGTGAAGTTTATGAATTATGTTAAAATCTCATCTTGTCTCGTTCTTGTGGACCCAATCTCGTATCTTGTCTCATCCTTAATAATTGGCTTTCAGTATTACTTTCCTGAAATGAATAATTGTATTTTAACAGAAAAAAAAAGCAAAATTTCTTCCAGTGTCTGAACTTTGCTCCAAGATTTGATTAATCATCATAATGCTGGCCCAACGAAATTGCACTTGCAGCACTGTCTTTTGTTTCATTTGCACTTATTTAAATCATCTTGCACATTATTTTCTTGTTCTGCTTATCTCAAAAGCTCATCCCCACCTCGTGATGTCATCAGGTGGTAATCCAGAAGTGCTCCTCTGTGTTTCTAAGGTCCATACAACTACACCAGCTTAACTCGGATCACTTCAGCGCTCAAATTTCCTTCACCGCACAACTACTCACATCGATCACGATCCGATCCATGTGACGATACGGGTTTTGGCGAAATTGTCTTGTCTAGAGTGTCAAGGTTTCTCTGTTTAAAGCTGCACTATGTAACTTTTCTGGTGGACGGTGCGTACACTTTTGCTGTATTGACTTGTCGTTGAAGATATGAAAGATGGAACATTTATTTTTGGGGTCACTTCGGTGTCGTGTGTACATTTTTTAAGCAATAGTGGTGAGATTGTGTTCTTTTTGCCGGAATAAAAACAGATTTGAGCCTTCGAAAGTTGAATAAGCGACTTTCCTTGCCTCTTTCTGGTAATTCTAAGGAAAGAAAAGCATTAACAAGTCAAGCAGGTAGCGCACCGTCCACCAGAGAAGTCACAAGTTGCAAATTTGGAACACCAAGGTTTCCAAAAGTATTTTATAAGGTATCAACAACATTGATTTTAAGGACCCAAAGTACTCAAATTAATACGTTGAATTTTGCAAACCTTTTCAAATTCCCACTTTTACCTCTGCTCCCGGTTTAGCCTTGTCCGTCCTGTTTTGTTTTGTTTGTTTTTTACGTGACAACTGTAGAAGGAATATCACTGTCTTTTGTGTCTTTAGAAAATGGATGTGTATTTATTGTGCGTGCGTGCGTGCGGGCTGCGTGTGTGCGCGCGCCTTGACAAATCCGTGTCCGAGCAGCTATGCACACGGCGCCCTCTGCTGGTCACCCCGTAGTAACACAAACACTGGACTAAAAGGACAGCCTCATGCTCTGATCACTGCTGTACATAAGAAACTGTAAATACTGGTTCAGAAATCATCTTTGGTTGCCAACTATATTAAAAAATCAATGGAACTCAGCAATTGTTCTTTTATTGTTTTGACTTTTTTCAATTGTAGCTTCATTTTGTTGTATAATCTTTCATTTTTGCAGATGAATCAAAAGTGAAACAATGCAGTAAAAGTAATTCATGATAGATAAGTTATTTGTTTAATATGGTTAGGAACAGTGGTGGAAGAAGTACTGAAGTAAAAGTACAGATAGCAAAGCAAAAAATAGTTTAAAAAAATCTGTAGTATTTTGCACAGATTTTGAGATGTAATACAGTTTCAAATGTAGTGATTTGAAATAAGATCTGTGCTGAATTTTGTTCAACAGAAACAACTGAATTGATCCAGCTGTTTTTATTTGTTATATTTTTTTGCTCAGACCAGAGGTGGGGACTTGCAAGTCGTGACTTGGACTCAAGTCAGACTTGAGTCACTATTGACTTGAGACTTGACTTGATAAAAATGGACTAAGACTTGAGACTTGACTCAGACTTGAGGCCTGTGACTTGAGAAGAGTTGAGAAGCACTTTTAAATCTGAATTCTGAATATTCTGACTGTAATGATTGACTCTAAGATCGTGTGAAGACATTTAAAAAGGACACATTTAAATTTCTAAATTATAAATATATACATTTATATTTAAAAATATAAATATACTATGACTATAAGTACAATTTATCTTAAAAGTCATAAATTGCAAAAGTCTAAGCTATATTTGCTACTTTGGTTTAAAGACTTGAAATGACTTGAAGCTCAAAGCAGACGACTTGGACTTGACTTGGACTTATGGGCCAGTGACTCGAGACTCGACTTGGACTTGGCTGTATTTGACTTGGGACTTGACTCGGACTTGAGGTCAAAGACTTGAGACTTACTTGAGATTTGCAAAACGACACCTTGGTCCCACCTCTGGCTCAGACTATGAACATATTCAAAAATAAATCCTCAGCCTTTTCAGCAGGTCTCAAACTATGATAAATATTTAAAATTTTCAGTCCTGTTCAAAAATGTTGTGTTGTGGAGTAGAAAATACAGATACCTGCTCTCAAATATAGTAAAGTAAAAATAATCCACTTTTAAAATGGACTTAACCCTCCTGCATCCCTTGGTATATTTTTGTACATCTCAGCTTTTCTTTTTTTCATAACTTTGTCTATATTACACCAAATAACATCAACATTGGTCAGTTCTGTGTTTTTCTCAAGATCAAATTAATTGAACAGTCTAGAATCAAAATACTCACACCCGTGGTCTTTAGGTACATTTTTGTCCCATCAACTTCAATTCAAAATAGCTTTTTTACTGGTATAACTTTGCCTGTATATGTTTTCATTTATTTTTCATTCTTTGGTGTTGAAAACCTTTTCAATTTATTATTATTATTTTTTTTTGGTTTAGTGTCTTTTTGAATTTTTTGATATTTTTCTTTTTACTGTGTTTCTTGCATTACATTATAATATCAATAGAAAGACATTTGAACATATTAGTCTGAAGGCCAGAGACAGATATTTGAGGATAAAATGATGTGTGTGTGTTCTAGAGGAGCCTCTGATGATCCCAACACAAACAAATTAAAATTACTTGAAAGATATAGAAAAAATATATATATTTTTATACACATAATTTGAAACTTTTGCTGTTAAAAATGGCATTTAAGGGGTTAAATTTTCAAAACATGATATAATATTTGGTCTGTATGATTAGGGCAGAAGTAAATGAAGACACATAAAAAGTTGGACAAAATACATACTGCATAAAAACATTGTGGTATTCTTTTCTAGTGTACATTTTGTCACAAAGGACCACAGGTGCGATTATTTTAAAGGGGTGCACAAGGGTTAAGTAAAAATGTTATATGTACTTTACTAATTTTACGTTGTTAGGTTCCAATCCAGGTTGGTAAGCATTTGTGTGTTGTCTTAAATTGTACTTGAAATTGTATTCAAGTAAGAGTACAGTCGCAAAGTACAGGTCCAAGAAATGACTCAAGAGTAAAATGGTACTACTCAAGTAATAGCAACAGTTTGGAGGTAACACATGATTAATTTATTTAAAACAATAAATAAGTAAAATAAGTAATTGGCGGGAAAAACATGAGGTTATCCAAGTGAGAAGAAACAAACAAAGGAGTGGTGCAAGAAACACAAATGTTCAAATAATTTCATATCGTCAACATAAAGACAGTGGGAAGAGTAACCAAAACTTTTACTCAAGTAAGAGTACTGTTACACTGTACATGGTGTCTGAAAACTACTACAATCCAAGTCTAAAGAGGTTTTTTAGTAACTTTTTTGCTAAATTGGATAGCTTTAAAGGTGCATTGTGCAACTTTTCAGGTGGAGGGTCTGTCAAATGCTTTTCTACATGGAGTTATTGCTTTCACAGTACGGCATTAAACCTTTCTATCTTCATGGAGACCAAACCAGATGCAAGTTACAGGTCAGAATGTCTGTTTTTAGGTACTTTTGAGCTATAAAACCACCTGTAATGGAATAAATGTAAGGTAGAGCTGTTTAATGTCATACTGTGGAACATTCCAGGCAGAGGAATGACATCTCACTGATTTAATAGTAATTGAGGGCTATTTAAATAAGGCTTAAAGGGACAGTTCCTAATTTTGGACATAGCACCTCATGAGCGAGAGTGTTGGAGATATGTGGAGGCACTTTTTTAAATATTCCATCCAGTCCTTGTATTTGCAGAGGTCATTGGTGCTAGGCTAGTGCATGTCAATGGCCATAGTTAGCATGCTACTAAAAACAGTCTTACCCACTCCACAAAACACCCGAGTCAAAACAATTATTATGTCAGACTGTCGATGTAAATGTCTGTGTCAATAGAATAATTCTACAAGTAAAACTAACCTTGCATTTGAAGGATTTCTGAGTGAGCAGCAGCGAGGTGTACTTCCTGATAAAAAGCTTGGCAGCGGTGGACTGATATATGAGAAAATAGTCCCTCAACATACGATGATTGATGCAATGCAAAGTTAGTTTTATTTCAAACATTATTCTATTGACACAGACATTTACATGGACAGTCTGGTGTAATAATAGATTTGGTTCGGGTGTTTTGTGGAGTGGGTAAGACTGTTTTTAGTGGCAGGATAACAATAGAATAGAATAGAAAGCCTTTATTATCATTCTACAGTATAATGTAATTTAGAGCTGCTCCGTCAAAGTGCAAGAAAAAACAAACTAATGAACAGTTCTCAGAATAAAGATAAGTTCAGTGTGGTGACAGCTTTGGGGAAGAAGCTGTCCCTGACTCTATTTGTTTTGGCTGGAATTGACCTGAAGCGCCTGCTAGAAGGCAACAGGTTGAACAGGTGGAATCCAGAGTATTGTCTTTAATGATTTTCCTCGCTCTGCTGAGACAGTGGGAGTTGTATAATGTGGTTAAGGAAGGCAGAGGGCAGCCAGTAATGTCCTGTGCAGTGTTGGTCCCCCTCTGTCAGCCTCTGTGCAGTTAGAGAGCCACACTGTCACAGCAGAGGTCAGCAGGGTCTCAATGGTGGAACAATAGAAGGTCACCAGCAACTTGTGTTTAGTTGCTCCTTCCTGAGCATCTCAGGAAGTGTAGCCGCTGCTGGGCCTTTTTGACCAGTGCTGAGGTGTTGACTGACCAGGAGAGATCCACAGAGATGTGAACCCCAAGGAATTGAAGGACTCCACTCACTCCACACTTTGGCTGTTGATGTACAGGGGGTCAGGAGTGGCTCTGTTCCTCCGAAGGTCCAGGATGAGTTCTTTAGTCTTGGTGATGTTCAGGTTAGTTGTCCACCACTCACTGAGTTTCAGGACCTCTATGGCCTATAACTATGACCACTGACATGCACTGGCCCACAGTGTCGGGGAGTAACAGATTACATGTACCAGAGTTACGTAATCAGAGTACAAATTATGAGTAACTGTATTCAGTTACAGTTACTGTGTCAGTGAGTGGTAATTGGATTACAGTTACTTTGTTGAAATAAATGGATTACACAGCGGTATTTTCCTGTTTTCACATTTTGGGCTATATCCCCCTTTTTTTCAGTAATTCTACTCAAACCAGGACTAAACTAGGATTTAACAGGACTAAACCAGGACTAAACTAGGATTTAACAGGACTAAACCATGCTGTATGGACCGTGTCTCTTCCTCTTCTATCAATAATATTTTTTAATCTGGGCTTTTTATTTTCTTTTATCAGACAAAACATCTTATGTTACGATATCCTGGTCTTTGCTTCTCTACAGCAAACCAACTAATCCAAAGTATTCAGATTACATTACTCACTTTAAGTAATTTAATAGATTCCGTTACAAACTACACTTTAGGGGATGTAATCTGTAATCTGTAGGGGAATACATTTTAAAAGTCACCTTCCCAACACTGCTGGCCTCGCACCAGCGACCTCTGCAAATACAAGGACTGGATGGATTTTTTAAAAAGTGTCTCCACACGTTTCCAACACTCTGGCTCACTAGGAATTGAGGATCTAATCTCTAAAATTACGATCTGTCTCTTTAAAAACCAACATGATAAACATTATTTTAAGATTTGGTTTACCTGTGTAGATAAGATAACCCCGCCCCTTCACGTGTTATCAGCGGGGTCACGGGGTCAAACTCACACTTCTAAATCCTGTATATTCACTCTTCCAAAAACAACCATCCATCACTCCCCCCTCTCCACACTCTCCCCAGCATGAGAGCCGGCGTGGCGTGCGTCCTGCTGGCCTCCTGTCTCCTGTCCGCCCGCTCGGTCCCGTCCCCGGAGGATCTGCGCGCCCAGGAGCGGCTCTTCCTCTCCTCCCTCGGGCTGAGCTCCAGACCGCGGCCCGCTGCAGGTGGAGGAGGTGCGGGTTCGGGTGCCGCGGACGGGGTAGGAGGCCGTGAGTCCCGCCAGCCGCGTCGCCACGTCCCGGCGGCGCTGTGGAAGATGTTCCGGAGCGCGGAGCACCGGAAGAAGGCGCAGGACAGTGACCCGTGCACCGTGGCAGAGTACGGCGTGAAGGGAAACATCATCCGCTACGTGCAGGACCAAGGTGAGAGGCGTGCGTGTGTGTGCTGATACCAGACTAGACAATTCTCTCAAAAGGCTCCAAAAAGTCTCCAAAAACTTCATAAAAGGGCCCATATTACCTTATTTTCTGATCTGTGTTAATGACTCTTCATCACATACACAGTTTTCATTTCAAATTCACATTTTTTAGCTCACAAATTCTGCATATTTAGGCTGAATTCTTCTCTCAAACAGAAAACACTGAATACAGAAAGATTTCCATTCTGTTTTTAAACTCCATACACTTTCAGTTGTGTCATTTGGATCATTTCTGCCTTGGAATTGCCAAATCTCTGCTGAACTAAAAGTAAAAAGTAGTTGATAATGTGAAAATGACCACTACCTGGAACAGAGCATTTTGAGCTTTTGAGGTGAAGACTGACGAGTTAATCAGGGTTCCCAGAGTCATGGAAATCCTGGAAAAGGCATGGAAATTGAAAATGTCATGGAGAAAGTCATTTAATTTTAGTATCTCTTTCGCACAACTACAGCGTTCTGTTAAGTTCTCATGAGGCTATTTTGATTATTTCCAAACGTCTGCGCCTTTTGTTTAAAAGAGACGACAATAAATGACAGTATTTTGAACGTTAAAAAACTATAATACCAAACCATAAGATGAGTGGAAAGTGTTAACATTTCATTTTTAGCCCTAAAAATCTGATCAATTCTACACATGTAGGTGCTGTAAAGTCATGGAAAATTCACTTAAGGTCATGAAAAAATCATGGAAACGTTTTGAAATTTTGTCAGTGAAAAAGAGTGGGAAACCTGGTTACTGAAACATGTCTGAATGAAACAAACCACATGCATTACCACACCTCACCTTATCTTAAGTGTTTTTGCAGAGGCACCAACATTACACATGGCTTAAAGCTCACAAGAGACTATTTTGTATAATAGTTACAGAATTTTTCAGATAGAATTTTAAACCCAAGGATAATACAACTGATGAACATTACTTCATGTATTTATCAAGCCGCAAACCAGAAGATGCAAATTATAAGTCATTTTTGTCTTTAATCCATATTTGGTCTTTAATCCATGTTGCAGGTCTAGAGGATGTTACGACACCCCCAGTATTAACCCAGTATGGTTGTATCGCCCCCTGCAGGTGGAGAGGTGCCGGGTTGGAGCGGTCTGGAGAAGCAGCTCTTCTTTAACATGTCTGTTCTTCAGCCTGTGGAGCAGTTGACTCTGGCCCGACTCGAGGTTCGATTCCACTGGAGACCTCTGCTCTCCTCTGAGCTCCTGTCCTCCAGCCGCGGGCTCAGCATCGCCCTCTACAGGGTCACACGCGCCACACTCAAAGGTAACTGAAAAAACATACACTTGTTTCCTATTTTCCAAAACCCTTTATGTCTTTATGTATTTGAAGGTGCTGACCGTCAGACGAGCAGACGTCTGCTCCTCTCTCAGTCTGTGCAGCTCCAACCTGAGTCCACAGCCGTGACCCTTGACCTCAGCTCTGTGGCAGAGTCCTGGAGGAAACCGGGGAGGAACTACGGTCTGGTCCTGGAGATGGTTCCTTTCAGCGCACACCCAGAAGAACTGCTGGCATTTCACCCAGGTAGAGTCAGTTAAGGTTAAGGTCAAATATACTGTACACAGCATTGTTTCCCGAAGATTTTTTTGGGGTCGCCTTGTCACGATCTGCATGTAGGTCTGCAATATACAGTTGTATAACTCGATCGGTGACTTTATCATCATTCTAGATAAGCATTTTGTCAGAATATCCTGTCCTCAGTAGAGCCAGTGTTTCTACACTTATGACTTTCACTACTACATATATGTGTAAATTTGGATTTTCTATGTTCACAAAAATGAAGACAAAGCACAGAAACAGACTGAATACTGCTCCTGATCTGCTGCTGCGTCTCCTCCTGCACCCGGACTGGAGCACTGTACAGAAACACAGACAGGTCCACCTATCTCATTAGAAATGTTAAGACATGTTTTGTATAATTTCTAATATTTTTGTAATTATTTTATTGACTAATTTGTTCCAATATTGCTGGTTCAATTGAATGTTGAAAAGAAAAAGAAATGGGCTGCATTTAATGTCCAAATAGGCGACTTATGGATCCTTTTATTGCTGCTTCAGTGACTGTTTTTCATTGTTTACAACTTGAGTCATATTAATTGTTCAGAGACACGATCACTCGGTCAAATAAAAACAAATATAAATAAAAAAAATAAAATAAAATATCCTCATTAATGTTCTATAATGGTCAAATCCAACTTTATTTAGTGATTTACAAATAATGTCTATTGACTTGCGTTGCAAAGGTTTGTGACTTTTAAAATATGGGTCCTCAGAAAAAAAGTTTGGGAAACACTGGTGTACAGCATCACTGTCATCCTGAGCTAGGCTTGGTCAGTTAGCAGAATGATTTCACCTGTTGAGCTGGTTTTGACTGCCAACTCAGTGCCAACTCAGTGCCAACTCAGTGCCAACTCAGTGCCAACCCAGACAAAATCCACACAGACGGGGAGAAACTGTGAGGATTCCACACAGAAGCTGAATCTCCTTGCACGAGTCCTATTATGCATAAAAAGCTGTCATTTAAACCTCTATAAAAGTGCACTTGAAGCTGAATCTTGCCTTGTTGCTGAGTTACATTTGCATACAATTGTCTGAAAGCTTGATATTTTTCTACAAATAGTTTACCCCATGTTTTCAGTCACCCAAACCCCTCTCCCCCCTCCTCCTCAGGCTCCGTTCAGCCGGACTTGTCCGTACCTGTGGTGCAGTCGTCTCTGGTGCTGGTGTCTCTGAACCCGGAGCAGTGCCGTTCTCGTCAGAGGAGGAGCGCGGTGCACCTCCCTGTGACCCCCTCGAACGTGTGCCGAGCGCGAAGACTCTACATCCACTTTAAGGACGTGGGCTGGCAGGACTGGATCATCGCTCCACAGGTGACACACGGGGGGATGTGGTTTAATATCATTCACTCCACACTCAGGGGTTGTAAAATGTTAGTGTAGCCGTAGCTGTCCTGGGGCAGACTGACAGAAGAGAGGCTGCCAAGTGCTTTGCTGAAGGACACAAGCAAGAATTGACCTTTTGAGTTGGGGGGACCACTGCTTTAACCGCTCTAAGTGACAATTGTGTTTTTGATGGAAGAACAATTTTATTTATTGGGATAAATTGTCAAAATGAGACAGAAATAGTTGTATTTCATGTCGGCTGTTTTAGTTTGGCAGAAATAGTAGCATAAGCCGTTTACAAAACTTTCTTCACACACAGGTGCAGTCTCCCCCTAACTTACTTATATTTTAATTAAATGAATTTAATCCATGGTGTTTAAATATACATTTATGCACAGCAATAATGTTCAATTTTTTATGTATTCATAAGGTGGAGGCTTTAATATAAGCCCCTTTGGGTTTTTTGCCTCTTCCGGCACCTCCTTTTTTATCTAGCATGTTTTTGTTTTGTTTTTTTGTTATGTTATATTTGCTAAATAAAAAAATTTAAAAAAAGAAAGAAAAGAAATATTCATGTATTTAATTTATTGCATTTAATTGTATTTGACAGTGACGATTGGTTATGGATATGGTTGAAGTTAATTCAACTTCCCTTAGTGTTAATTCAAATTTTTCCTGGTGTTCATTTAACCTCCTCTAGTGTTTATTCAACTTCGCCTTGTGTTAATTCAGCATTGCCGTGTGTTAACTTAACCTCCCCTAGTGTTCATTCAACTTCCTCTGGTGTTCATTCAACCTCCCCCGGTGTTTATTCAACCTCCCCTAGAGTTAATTCAACTTTCCCTAGTGTTTATTGAACTCCCCTTAGTGTTAATTTGGCACCTCCCACCCACCACTCCAACTCCCATGAGAGAAGACCAGTTTGAACCAGTTTTGTGCATAATTTCATCTTAAATGAACTAAAATAAGTGTAAAAATAAAACACCTCTGTGTGTTGTTTGGCCAGGTCAGGATAATCCTACCAAGTGTTATCTGTTTACTCTCAAAATGTTAATATAACTCTTGATTCTGGGGTTATAGACAGGAGTTTTGGTCCAGTGTTACTTAATTCATTCATTTATTCATTCATTTCCAAAAATGTTAAATTAACTCTAGAACAGGTTGGACTCATATAACCCCTGAGAAAATGTTCAAATTGATTCTGTGAGAGTCAATTTGGTGTTTTTCCCTACACAAAACCGTTAAACCCTGTCCTCTCTCCGCAGGGATACATGGCCAACTACTGTCATGGAGAGTGCCCGTTCCCTCTGAGCGAGACCCTGAACGGGACCAACCACGCCATCCTCCAGACGCTGGTCCACTCCCTCGACCCGCAGGGCACCCCCCAACCCTGCTGTGTGCCCATCCGCCTGTCCCCCATCTCCATGCTCTACTACGACAACAACGACAACGTGGTCCTGAGGCACTACCAGGACATGGTGGTGGACGAGTGCGGGTGCAGATAGTGTTAAAGCAAGACTGCGGAACATTCTCTCTCCTCTCACACGCCTTTCTTTCTCTACCACCCCAGACCCCTCCTCTCTTCCTCCCTACTGTTTCTTTCTCTCTTTTTCTCAATCCTTACCCCTCTCTACAGTGTTGTATTACATGTTTTTTTTTTTATTCTAGAATTGTAATTTGGTGTTTTTATATGTCAATTAATTAAATAATATTAATCTACACATTTTGTACATTTTGTGTATACACTCAAACAGTTTTGCCATTCATGGGTAACAGTTCCATTAACACATGAAAGATTGAGTTTTTGAATGGTAGATGATAAAAAAAAATTAATAAAAAAAACAACAACACTATTTTTAGTTATTTTTTTCATAGATAAATACTTCATTGATCACCAGGCAAATGTATTATTACTGTTGCAATGATCTTTATTTATTTATTTATTTTTTTTTTACTTTATTGATCACCAAGGAAATGCATTACTGTTACAATAATTTTTTCTTTTAGATTTTTTTTTTTTTTTTTAGGTTTTTTAGTTGTTCTTTTTGCAATGATTTTTTTTCATAGATATATACTTTATTATTATTATTGCAATGATTCATTTATTTTTTTTTTCATTTTCATTTTTTACATTTTTCATTTTTTTTAGATTGTTTTTATAGATATATATTTTATTGATCACCAAGGAAATTTATTATTATTGCTGATGATTGAATGATTTTTATTTTATTTTTTTTATTTTTTTTCATAGATATATACTTTATTTATCACAAAGGAAATGGAAATTTACTATTATTATTGCAATGATTTCAAAATTTATTTATTTATTTATTAGATTTTTTTTTTTTTTTACGTTTTTCTTTCTTTCTTTCATTTTATTTTATTTTTTTTACTTTTTTTCATAGATATATACTTCATTGATCATCAAGGAAATGTATTATTATTATTGCAATGAATTATTTTTTTAGATTCTTAGATTTTTTTGGTGAAATTTTGACAAATGCTCAAATTCAGCTATTAAATTTCCTGTATTGTGCAAAACTGACTCTATACTAGAATGTTGTTAATCCTTCCTTAAACAGTTTTTCACCTCCAAAAAACGAAGGAAAAAAAAAAAAAAAAACACAAAGCAAAAAAAAAAAAAAGATCCAAGTGATTCTAGTGAAGCTGTATGAAGTTCTCAACAGTTCTCAATTTTTCCTTGAACCTTCTTGTTGCTTACAGTTGATGTTGCAGTTGTCCAGCAGAGGGCACTGTGGCTCCAGCTCGGACAGCACGACACCAGTCCTACGTACGTCTCACTCCGGGTTATTGAGTTCATTTGTGATTCATTCAGTAAAACGCAGCAATAAAAGCACACTTACATTCTGATCAATAAAATGTGACACACGTAATTGATGAAGTCACGTTTTTGAGTCGATACAGATAACCGATATTTGCCGATACTAATTATACTAATACTAAAATCCGTCGCAGGGCCCACACGTTTAAGTTAAAGGTGCACGAAAATAGAAAGGTTTAATGCCATACTGTGGAACATTCCAGACACTATTGTATTTGGTGGACCCTCTACCAGAAAAGTTACACAATGCATCTTTAAAATATAGTAAAATTCACAAATGAATGTCTTACTTTTGTTAAATGATCTAAAATATAAAAATAATTCACTTTATTGATTTGTCTGATTTAGGATTTTTCGTAAAGGTCCTGTGTTTCACAAAACTGACACAAACACAACTCCAGAGAGAAAACATTTGATTGATTTATTTTATTTACTATGTCTTCTCTCTGTCTCTATATCTATCTCCTCCCTCTCTCTTTTCCCTCTTTTCTCATTCTATCTATCTTCTCCCTCCTTTCCTCTCGCTGTTTCTCTCTCTTTTCCTCTCTTTCTCATTCCTCCCTCTCTTTACCCCCTCTCTCTTCTTTCTCTCATCTTCTCCACCCTCTATTCTGTCTCTTTCTCACCCCCTTCCCTCTCTCTTCTCACCTCCTCTCTTTCTCTCTCTCTCCCTCTTCTCTGTCTCTCATCTCCTCCCTCTCTTCTCTCTCTTTACCCACCCTCCTCCCCTCTCTCTCTTTCTCAACCCTCTCCTTTCTCTTTTTCACCCCCTCTCCTCTCTTCTCACCTCCTCTCTTTCTCCCTCTCCTCTCTCTCATCTCCCTCGTCTCTCTCTCATCTTCTCCCTCTTCTCTCTCTCTCATCTCCCTCTCCTCTTTCGCTTATCTTCTCCCTCTTCTCTCTCTTTCTCCCCCACTCCTCTTTTTCTCCCTCTTCTCTCTCGTCTTTTCCCTCTCTCTCTCTCTCTCTCTCTCCCGTCTCTCTCTTTCTCACCCCCTCCTCTCTCTCACTCCCCTCTCTTTTTCTCCTCCCTCTTCTCTCTCTTTTCCCCCTCTCCTCTCTTTTCTCACCCCCTTTCTCTCTCTTCCTCACCTTACACTCTCTCTCTTTCTCACCCTCCTCCCCTCTTCTCTCTCTCATCCCCCTCCTCTCTCTCTCTTTCTCCCTTTTCTCTCTCTCTCTCTCATCTCCCCCCTCCTCTCTCTCTCTTTTTCTCACCCCACTTCTCTCTCTCTCTCTTTCTCCCACTCCTCTCTCTCTCATCTTCTCCCTCCGCTCTCATTTTGTCCACCCTCTTCTCTCTCTTTCTCACCCCACTCCTCTTTCTCTCCTCTCTCTCTTTCTCCCCTCCCACCCTACTGCCCCCTTTCCCTCCCTCCTCTCTCATTTAAACCTCTCCCTCTCTCTTCCCTCTCCTCTCTTTCTTTCTGTCTGTCTACTCTCTCTCATATGCGTCTCCCCCCGCTCCCCTCTCTCTCTCTCTCTTTCTCCACCCTCTCCTCTCTCTCACACCCCTGCTCCTCTCTTCTCTTTCTCTCTCTTATCTCCCTCTCTGCTCTCTCTCTTTTTCTCTCTCTTCTCTCTCTCTTTCTCTCTTTCTCCCTCTTCTCTCTCTCTCTCTCATCTCCCCCTTCTCCTCTTTCTGACCTCACTTCTCTCTCTCTTTTTCACCCCTCTCCTCTCACTCTCTTTCTCCATCTTCTCTTTCTCTCTTTCTCCACCCTCTCCTCCCTCTCTCATCTTCTCCCTCTCTCATCTCCCCACTCTGTTCTCTCTCTTTCTCCCCCCACTCCTCTCTCATCTTCCCCCTCTCCTCTCTCTTCATCTCCCCACTCTCCTCTCTCTCTTTCTCCCCCACTCTTCTCTCTCTTTCTCCCTCTTCTCTTTTTCTCTTTCTCCACCCTCTCTCTCTCATCTCCCCGCTCTCCTCTCTCTTCCCCCCTTCTCTCTCTCTTTTCCCCCCTCTTCTCTCCCTCATCTTCTCCCTCTCCTTTCTCTTTCATCTCCTTCCTCTCTTCTCTCGCTTTGTCCGCCCTCTTCTCTCTCTTTTTCACCCCACTCTTCTCTCTCTCTCTTTCTCCCCTCCCACCCTACTGCCCCCTTTCCCTCCCCCTTCTCTCGTTTAAACCCTCCCTCTCTCTTCCCTCTCCTCTCTTTCTGTCTGTCTCTCTATGTTTCTCCCCCTGCTCCTCTCTTTCTTTCTCTCTTTCTCTCTTCACCCCTCTTCTGTCTCTCTCTCTTCCCCCCTCTCTCCGCCCTACCGTCTCTACCTCCCCCTCTCCTCTCTCTCTCTTCCCCTCCTCTCTCGTTACAGCCCTCCCCTCGCGCGCCTCCTAATCATCGGTAATGGGCTGTGAGTGTTTTCTGCCCGGTAACACCCCCGGTAACGCGTGACTTTTACGAGCCGGCTCTGTGGCAGGGCGGGGAGGCGTCTCTCTCTCGTACCGTTGAGTCGGGGTGGTCTCGGCGGGACCGGCGCTCCACTGACCTTTCTGTCCCCAGACTCATGTGGAGAACTGCAGGAGGGATGGATTCTCTCTCTTCCTCTCTCTCTCCACCTTTATCCCTCATCCAATCACTCCCTTCCTCTTTCTCCCTCCATTCTCCCTCTCTCTCCCGTCGCTCTTCATCCTCTCCATCTCTCTCATCCCGTTCTCTCCAGCTCTCCCTCTTTACTCCAGTCTTTTTTTGTTTCTCGCTTCCTTTGTACACATTCCTCTCTCTTTTTGGTCTCCTCTCTTCCTCTCTCTCTGCCTCTCCTCTTTCTCTATTCTTTTTCTTTTTTTGTCTCTCCTCTCCCTCTGTATCTCACCTCTCTTTTCTCTGTCTTTCCTCTCTCTCTCTCTCTCTCCCTCCCTGTTTCTTCTCTCGTTTTCTCTCTCCTCTCTGTCGGTCCTTCTCTCTCTTCTCCCTCTCACCGCTTTGTCTCATCTCTTTTCTGTCTCTTTCTGTTTCTCTCATTCTTCTCTCTCTCCCTCTCCCTTTGTTTCTCCTCTCTCCGTGTTTCTCCGCTCTCTCTCCCTCTGTTTCTTGTCTCTCTCTCTCTCTGTTTCTCCTCGGTCTTTCTCTCCTTCTCCCTCTCTTTTCTCTGTCTCTACTCCTCTCTCTCTCTCCCTCCCTGTTTCTTCTCTCTTTTTCTCATTTTCTCCTCTCTCTTTGTCAGTCCTCCTCCTCTCTCTCCCTCTTTATTTCTCCTCTGTCTTCTCCCTCTCTAACTCACCACTTTGTCTCATCTCTCTCTTTCTCTCTCTCTCTCTCTTTTGCCTTTTCTCTCCTTGTCTTTTGGTTCAGTCCGGGTTCAGTCCATATGCAATTTACGTCATGGAACCAGCCAATCCGTGTATCATTTGTTCAAAAAAATAAATAAATAAAAATAAACAAAAAAACCCTCCAAAACCAAAAAGGGATAACGGCCGAGTTTCCCGTTTCTCTGACTTAATAAACTGTGATGCTGGACTGAACCAGGACTAAAATGGGTCCAAACCAGGAATAAACCTGGACTGAACCAGGAGTGTCGGGATGGGCCCAGAGGTGCACTTGCGTAGACTGTCAGGTGATCAGGACTGACACTGGAACCAGACCGGAACCAAACTGGGACTGAGACGTTTAGTTCTGGTTTAGTCCTGGTTTAGACCTGGTTTAGTGGTTCAGAGTCCTGCACCGGGTCGAATACCTGCAGGTACGACTAATCTTGGACTTAAGAAAGAGAGAGAACCCCGAGCCCACAATGCAAGATGTCTGTAAAACATGATCGGGCGACGGCTCTG